CAACCTGCACCTGTGTTCTGCGGTCTCCTCCTCTTCTTGGCAGTATCTGCACAGTGTTTCTTCTCTCCTATCCGGTGCGTGTGCCTTCTTAAGACCGTGCCCTGGGAATCCGACTAGAATCATGGTTCGGTTGCGGTTGCCTTCCAGTAATTCTTTTGTAAATTTTGCGGATGGTCCTTCTATGAATCTCTTCGCGTGCCTCATGCCTGTGGTATTATTCCACCAGGTTTTGGTCTCATTAAGGATCCATTTTAAAATGTATCCTCTTTTGTGAAAGGCTGCTAAGTAATGTGCGCAGTAGAGTTCAGGGCCCAGAGAGTCCATGTTGGCCCCCTTTTTGGCCAACATGTCAACCTTTTTGTTCCCTCTATGCCCCTAATGTCCAGGGACCCATGCCAGGGTCAGGTCATTGGTGTCGCTGACTTCCGTCAGGGCCTCCATGCAGTTCCAAACTCTTTGTCTTCGCCTCGCATGAGACTAGGGCCCTAAGTGCTGCCTGGCTGCCAGAGAAAACGACTATCTCCCGGGAATGTATTCCTAGCCTTTTTATTTCTCTAGCGCAAAGTTCAATCGCTATGATTTCAGACTGGAAAACTGTAGCGTATTTACCTAGGTTTACCGTCAGTTCGGTCTTTGGGTTCATACCGAAGACTCCAGCTGCCGAACCCTTGTCGGTTTTGGAGCCTTTAGCGGTATTCCTTTCACCCATTCTTCCTGTTCTGGTATCAGTAAAAAACCAGGAAGATCGTTTTAAAAAAAACTATAGAGGAAAAAATTTTTATTTTCAGTGTCAGACTGTCGGCTTAATTTTTATTTTAGCTTACAAATTTTAAATGTAAATTTTACTCAGAGCACTTCAAACGCGTGCAATAACTATATTTAACGACACACTTAATTTGATTACGTGAGAATACTCTCCAAGTAATAATTTGCACTGCAATTTACCCTAAGGAGACACGCGTATATTTTCCTTTTTATTCCATCACAAAGTGCCATTAGACGTGTAATTTGCTTAACAAAGACGATATTAGACAACAAAATTCAATAGCGAGTAGAAATTACACGAGTTTTTGGCAGGAAATCGTTAACCTTGGTTAAAAACACTCAACAAATAAATATCTCAAAACTAAAAAGAAAACAATTTTTAATCATAACTTCGTCCATATATTAAATATTTTCTGACCCTTGGGACTTCCCAGTCTTCCTGTAACTTATGTAACTTGCAACTAACAACAAGCATTCAAAAATAACCGGGAGGCAATTAGTGAAACGAGCTTTTAGCGTTTCAAACTTTTTTTTTCATTCTTTTTGGTTATTTGTTTATGGATCTTTCCTTGGTTAAGTTACAGCTTATGGCTTATAAGAGTAGCTTCGACGTTTACCATTAATTAAGAATATTTCTTCCTTTTTTTAAAATTAGTGTTGGGTTAACTTCTGGTTTGTGATACTTATTTCACTAATTGTATTTTTTTTTCGGAATACGTTTTTTGGATATCTCCGCACATTGATGGTTCTTGGCGACAAGTCAACCATGGGATGTGAACATGATAAGCATAAATATCTTTCAGGTTTCAGGTCGCTCATTCGGGTGGACAGGACGTTCAGAAGGAGAACTCGAGAGATTTTACGATTTTGACGTCGAAATATTCTATAGAGATACTTACCTTGGCCTGTATCTCGTCTCGAGCATGACTTGGCACCGGATCACAAAGGTACAGCCTAGGAAGAGACAGATTTCTGGGAATTATTCACCATTTTGATAGCCAAATGCGACTTTCCAAATCAAAATGTTTGGTCTTAGCACATGTGATGCCGTCATGGGGCGTACGGCTCTTCACTCAATTCTTTCAAATATATTTCACAAATAAAGTAAAATCCGATGTAAATAAGGCGATATAAAGAATATGTTGAATGTATTTCAGATGAATATACCTACTATGTTTTGGAATAGAGTATTATTTTAATGAATCCTTTTTAAAAAGATAGTTCCTACTAGTTCCAACTATCTTTTTAAAAGGTTTGAACACACACTCACTCCACCATTCATCATTCCTATTATTTTATTGTGTTATCTTTAACAACAAAACACTAGGCCATAATATTGAGAGTGAGTGAGTGAGTGAGAGAGTGTGAGAGAGAGAGAGAGCGAATGAGAGTGACTGAATAGCAGTGAGTGAGTGAGAGAGAATGAAAGTGAGTAAGAAAGAAAGAGAGAGAGAGAGGGAGAGCGTGAGAATGAGAGTGAGAGTGAGAGAGAGAGAGNGAGAAAGATTGAAAGAAATAAATAAAAGTGAGCTTGTGAGAAAAAAGAAGGCTAAGTGATTGACCACGACAATGTGAAAGAGAGTGAGAAGCAGTGAGTGTAGGAGTGAGTGCGGGAGGAAGAAAAACAAATAATAAATTAATAAACGAGTGAGTACGAGGGTGGAATTGAACGAATCGACGAGTGTGTCCGAGAACGTATGTGTAAAACTAGTGAAAATTTTCTCACTCCAAATCGAAATTTAACGTAACACATTGTGCAAAAAAAAATCAGGAAATTATGAAAAAATTTTGTTTTTATAAATTTGAATTTCAGAAAAAACTCTTTTTCATATAAAATTTGCAGATAAACCTAGTGATAATTTTGAAACTTGAAATTGAATATTATTCTGTTTCTGATCTACTGCCAAATATTTCAGGTACTTTAAGAAGTAAACAAATTGAGAATTTGTTTTTACTTGAAGTAGTACGGCAGGTGGGACCTTTCTAACATTCCAACTGACAAATTTTCATTTTTTGACCCTTCTTTACCTAGAAACTGGGCAAATAATATTCAAATTGTAACGTGATACAAATGGAAGGCGACTTACCGATAAAGTAATATCCAAAGGAAAAAACGTCAATAATAAAACGAAACTGGTCCTTCGACTGATACGGAAACAATCGTCTCACTCTCTCGGCACAGAATGTTTATCACTAATATTATCACATTATTCCAGAGAAGATTCCCTCCGAGACGAAACCCTCGAAATCGAAATTATCACAAGACGGTGAAGAATATCGCGTGATCTCCATCGACGTCGTACGATATGGGGACGGTTACGTGCGTTCCGAGGCGCGACACCGACTGCGTTCGAGAATACCCATTCGAAAAGTTGGGCAGAAAGGTAAAACTAGAACCAGTGTATTGCCAACTGCAACATATTCCAATAAAGATCACGTCCCCTTGCGATTACCTCCTTTTTCCCCAATTAGAGCGCCTCTCAAGGACACGCCATAACCCCCCTTTTTTTAATTCGTCACTGAATTTCTCATTTCTTTCTATGTAGAAATGCTTTCTATATAGATAAATATGTATTTATCATCATCAACAATAGTTAGCAATAATATTCCATATAAAGACACTACATTAATTTCTTAATTATTTAAACACATATTTACTCTTTTAATATTCTTTAGTAGTATTATATTATATTTGAAGAATGGAAATTCCAAATGTTCTAAGTGCCTTCTGTTATTTTTTTTTAGGAAAGCAATAAAACTGCGTAAGTCAAATGGTAATCCAAAAACTTTATTGAAATGTATTTTATTGATGTATAGAATTATATTCTTTCGTAGCTAGTGCAATGAAAAACAAAAACAAACTCCTTTATATGCAAAAAAAAAAAATTGAAGAAACGTACACAGAACTCTTTGAATGAAAACTATACTGATACATAGAACATGGTAAACCTAAATAATTTAATAGATGAATTAATGTATAAAGATAAAATAAAGTTTTAATTATTTAGAATGTTTTGAAATAGTTTTAAGCAGTTTCTGGCAAAAAATTCAACACAGCAGAGAAATTTTTTTTTCTTGGCATCCAACAGGAATGGCTTCTGAATTTATGACATACAAACTTTTTTAATATCATCAGGTTTAGCCCTTTTTTTTAGTACATTAACACGTTTCCACATGTCTGTGCCATTGAATGTGGACTTATACTGGATAGCACCTGGATCATCTTTGGAAACTTTTATCATAGTAGCCTTTCTAATTAGATAATTTATTTTCAATATAGAATCACAGACGTGTTTTATGTCTAGAAAGTACAAATGTTTACTAGCTGATATGCCATGGCACATAGAACCTTTGGAAAAATCATATATCCTATATTAGATCAGTGCCATATATGAGAGACGCATATATGCAAAACATTATTAGCGTTATTGGCGATGGCACATGGAACATATTAAGAAAAAATCTCAGTTTTGAGGAAATTGGCATTTAGAACATTTGGATGTGCCAATAAAGCAGAAAAAGTAACAAAAAGAAAATAACTCACATAAATGCAGACTTGCATGCATCTTTGTAATGGGAGCACCCACAGTTGGTATGGAAAAGATACTGGGATTTATAATGAAGACAGCACAGAAAACTATTATTAGTATTGTTAAAGAGAAATCGCCAACAGGAATAAAACTAAAATAGAGAGATAGCAACAAAATAATGAACGACCATCTGATACTCATGGCGCCTAGGGACGATATGAAGGATGTTTGAATTTAATCAAAACATCAAAATAAACCTAGCTATCAAAATAGAATGGGGGGAAAAAAAGAAAAACACCTCCTTTAAAATTGGCACCATGTACCTGTACACAGATGGTTCTAGAACGCAAAGGTACGGGGGAAGGAATATTCGGTCCTGGAACCAAATACTCAGAACCCATGGGAAAACACCAGTATCTTCCAAGGTGAGGTCCACACAATCAAGAGATTTACTCTATTCAATTTGAATAAAGGGTACAAAAACAAGAACATAGCTATCATGTAATATAGACGAGAAGCCATCAAAAACACATACGCACACACACATTATAATTGTTCTTTTGTAAGGAGCATATTAGAGTATGCTGTGTTAGCCAGTAGAACAATATATCATAGTGAATGGGCAAGTAGACATCGACAAATTAAAAATATTAAACCAAATCATAATTTACTGTATTAAAATATTATAAAAGTGAAACTTTTTACTTGGTTATTCCGATCATTTTAGTCTGTCAGGACAGTTTGGCATCATCTTCAGCCGTACGATTGTTCCTGAAACAAGAACAGGCAGAATAAATTTACCAGAAATGATACTGGTTCCCCACAGACCACAGAAGGAAATTGATTAATTCAAAAGTGATTTCATTCAGAAAAAAATATGTGTATAAATGATCTTAGTTCATTTCCAAACAATTTATTTTATTTACTGGAAAAACCACTGATTGTTCAATATCAATCGTCATTTCTTTTCTCTCATTGATCTATTTAATAATAATTATATATTAATAATAGAGGCAAATACATTTTCACCTTAGTTAAGGTTTTTGAAGATTATATTCTGTGGGGAAAAAAGTTTTATTTTATACCAACATCTTCTACCATCAATGACGATTTTATACCATAAAACGATTATGGAATTTTAGTAACTTTCGTCAGGTTTTCAGGAGAATAATATAAATCTTTGTTTTGCCTTTTCATGAGCAATATTTTCTACAAAAACATTTCAAAATTCTTGATCATACTTCTGTACATAAAGTCGGCCTTTGGCATTCAAATACGTCATAGCACTTACACAAATGAGCAAGGTACCTTACCTTTCAAGAAGGTACTCAATACACAAGAAGGTTAAAAGTTTAAAAGTTTAAAACTTACAACGCTTTTCTCAAACGTTTAATTTATTTGGTAATTTTAATATTTTATTCTTTCCTGTGCGTTATTTGTTACCTTCTAATTTATATATATGGTAGATTCATTATTGTACTTTATTAACCACTTACATGTGTATTGTGTATACACTGCTGATATTTTTTGTATATTTACTTATGGTATATTTACGTATATATATGCTTTTTATTTTTATCAGTGTATTGACAGAAAATTTTTGTTGTGATTTTGTTTTGTTTATTTGATTTTTATAGTATTAAGATAGTTTTTTCCACATGGTTTTACTTTAGCAAGATGCACAAGTTTGCATTGATAAATTAAGACTATGTAGTCATACAAGTATATGTCTTGGACTTATTTACTCTTTTTATAAATAATAAAAGACATTTTTTTGTTCAGGAAGCAATATGATCAGAAGATCGCCTACAAGAATTGAGTTATCTCTTGAAGATATCAACGAGTACCAGGCTTTGCGCCAGGCTCAGACCGAAAAAAATGCAACAAGTACCCCTGCCTGGGCTTACAAAGTAGCTGTTACCAATACAGCCCAAGTGCATGAAAGAATTGGTTTCGTACCTCAACAAAGGACTCCTTCTTAGCCTTATAAATAAAATACTTTTAATTTTTTATTAGTATTCAACTGTATTTATAATGTTTGTTTTTTTTTATTAAAATTAGATTTCTGTACAAATAAAGTTTTTCTATAATTCGATTGTTATTATTTTACCCTGTTACCGAATCTGATGCAGGGTAAAAAAAACCCTATGTATAAAATGAAATTTCCGGAACATTTCTCAACGGGGTGGTACCTCTGGCTGCGGTTGAGCTGATAAGAACCCTGAATGGGGTCATAATTGAATTTAAGGGTTGTTAAATCAGTGGAGTGTGGTATTGGCCCCGGGACACCACCTGGTATCTGGTTAACAATAAATTAACCGATGACGCAGGACAGGTTTATTGAATCCTCCCACATGCTCTTTTGCCTGTATAAAAGCCAAGGAAGATCCCTAGGGAGCACATTCCACATCCACCAGTCCACCGACTAAGGTAACCCAGCAATCTCTTGGATATTTTTCTATTTAAATGCCCATTGTCAAGGAATTATTTAACTTTATTCATAATTAATTTTACGTTTTCGTAGTCAATTGACCAAGTTACTTCTTTAATCAATTAATTATTCTATCTAAGGTCTTGGTTGAGAATAAATTTAAAATTTATTCATAAAATATAAAACATTGTTAATAATTATCAATAGAATTGTTTATATAAATTATAAATCAGAAGATTTAGTTTCTTTAGGAATAACTTATAAACAATATCATAAGAAAGTCTTTTTAAATTGCAAATTTAATAGAAGAAATATTAAATACCATGGATTTCGAATAAAGATTAAATTTACCAAATGAACATTCAAACATTTCTTGTTATAAAGTTTATTCTGTTTATTTGTTGCTAAAGCAAATTTGCACTTTGAAATGCTAAAAAGCTTAAAATTTGTTCATCTGAATTTTAAAAAAGTGATTATTGTCAATTTATATTTTAAATATTTGTTAATATAAAAGTCCGGAAGCAGTGTAATTTTTATTTCCATCTATTGACAAAAAGAAATTCTTTGTTATATAGTTTGGTTGTTTCTGATCATTTTGGTCTGTCCGACCATTTCCGACATCTTCAGTGGTGGATTGATTGAAACAGTGAATGATAGGCAGATTAAAATAAAAGAAAAAAACCAAGTTTATCAGACCACAAGAAGAAATCTCACAAATCTTTTATTACGTCCTGCATTTGATTATATAGCAGGAAAACTCCATATTTCTATAATTAAATTTATTTAAAGTTTATTATTATTTATTAAACTTTTAGCAATTAAAATATTTTTAATATGGTACAACATATTGTATGTATTCTGAACTATAAGTACTATTCCAAGTAAAATGAGGTTTCAGTCAATTTACATCAAGTACTTGTGTAACATAAGTACTAGGAGTTGACTTATATAATTAAAGTTTAAGTTTAGAATTATATTTTCAGTTTATAGAAATTTGGAGAAAGTCAACCTCCAACAACTCAAACAGGTCTTAATTTTAAATAACCTTAGAAGCAAGCTTACACATAATGTTTTTCTAGATACTCCTTAAGCTTAATTTTTTTTTTTTGAGGTTTAATTTTTTTTTTTAATATTTCAGATGAGGAAAACAAGATTGGTAATTTTGCCAGGCGCCAGATGCCTAAACCAACTAGGGTGTCTTTTACTGTTCTTGGCCTGTCCCATGATTGCTTTCAAAGGGCAGGAAAATCGAGAAGTTGAACCATATTGCAAATTGTTAACACTGAGGCAACGATGGTAGGTTTGAATTGTTTCAAGCATTCATCAACTGATATTTTAAAATAAAACGTTTACAGGCTAAGCGATGACCAGGGCCGTATGGAATCTAGCATGTGCACAAAGGACGGAAGTGAATTCAATGGAAAAGAAAATCATGCTTTTTGGAAAAATGATCACGATATTATGTTTGACGACCCGAATGTATTACGGCAATCATCCAGAGAGAGCAGTAATTCTGACCACAATTGGAATAATGCTAGAAGAATTTCCGTTATTCAATCTAGGGAGAACAGACGGACAAATGGACAAAGAAGATCTAGGGACAACGGCAATGAAAATAGGATGTCCTTTCGTACACTTTCCATAGAAAGGGAACAGAGATCCACCCGGTACGCTAGAAACACTCGACACATGGAACGTGATGAAGCAAGGAGGGTACAAAGATCTAATTCTCTGGAGAGACTTGAAAGGGATGCACGATTTACCCGAGATACCCAAGAACGTCAATCTGAAATGGCACATTCACTCCAACGGGAAACAAGGCGTGATGCTAATGAAAATAGGATGTCCTCAAGATCACTTTCCTTGGAGAGAGAAATGAGAAACGCCCGACTTCCCAGGGAGACACGACGCATGGAACAATATGATGATAGGAGGGAACGAAGAGCTGCTTCTCTTGAGAGACCTGAAAGGGATGCACGATTTACCAAAGAACGCCTATCTGAAATGGCTCATACATTTCAAAGATCATCAAGGCGCAATTTAAATGAAAACAGGATGGTCTCTCGAACTCTTCCATTTCAAAGAGAAGAGCGAATCACCCGACAAGCCAGGGATACACAACGCATGGAACGAGATGATACTAGAAATGAACAAAGAGCTGTTTCTCTTGAGAGACTTGAACGGGGTGCACAATTTACCCGAGATTCCCAAGAAAGTCAATCTGAAAAGGCTCGTTCACATCACAGAGCAACCAGACATGGCGAAAATGAAAATAGGATATCCTTTCGTACACTATCCATGGAAAGGGAGCAAAGAACCACCCGACAAGTTAGGGATACTCGACGCATGGAACGTGATGATGCTGGGAGTGAACGAAGAGCTGTTTCCGTAGAGAGACTAGAACGGGATGCACGAATTACCCGGGACAAACGAGAACGTCAATCTGAAATGGCTCAAACCCTTCACAGAGCAACTAGGCGCAACGAAAATGAAAATAGGATGTCCTCTCGTATACTCTCCATGGAAAGGGAGCAAAGAACCACCCGACAAGCTAGGGATATTCAACGTATGGAACGTGATGATGCTAGGAACGAACGAAGAGCTGTTTCCCTAGAGAGACTAGAACAGGATGCACGAATTACTCGGGACACACGAGAACGTCAATCTGAAATGGCTCGATCCCTTCACAGAGCAACTAGGCGCAACAAAAATGAAAATAGGATGTCTTCTCGTACACGTTCTACGGAAAGGGAGCAAAGAACCACCCGACAAGCTAGGGATAACCGACACATGGAACGTGATGATGCTAGGAGCGAACGAAGAGCTGTTTCCCTAGAGAGACTAGAACGGGATGCACGAATTACCCGGGACACACGAGAACGTCAATCTGAAATGGCTCGATCCCTTCACAGAGCAACTAGGCGCAACAAAAATGAAAATAGGATGTCTTCTCGTACACGTTCTACGGAAAGGGAGCAAAGAACCACCCGACAAGCTAGGGATAACCGACACATGGAACGTGATGATGCTAGGAGCGAACGAAGAGCTGTTTCCCTAGAGAGACTAGAACGGGATGCACGAATTACCCGGGACACACGAGAACGTCAATCTGAAATGGCTCGATCCCTTCACAGAGCAACTAGGCGCAATGAAAATGAAAATAGGATATCCTCTCGTCCACTCTCCATGGAAAGGGAGCAAAGAACCATCCGACAAGCTAGGGATATTCAACGTATGGAACGTGATGATGCTAGGAGCGAACGAAGAGCTGTTTCTCTAGAGAGACAATCAACTCATGCCACCCAAGAACATTATTCTGACAAAGCCAGTTCCCCCCAAAGAAAAGAAAACATGATGTCCTCTCGAACTCGAATAAGCCGGGAAACCAGGGATGTCCGTAATTTGCAATGGGATGATACGAGGAGTGAACGAAGGGCTGTTTCACTTCAAAGACAGCAACGGGACGCAGGATCGGCCCGTGTTTCTCAAGATCATAAATCTGAAATCGCCCGTCCTCTTCAAAGAGCAACTATCCGTAATATAAATGAAATCAGGTTGTCTTCTCGCGAAAAATCAATGGAAAGCTATCATAGAAACAACCGGCAAATCAGGGATAGTGGACACATGGAACGATATGATGCTAGGAGCGAACGGCAGCAATGGGATGCAGGATCAACTCGTGTTGCCCGGGAACGTCACTCTGATATGGCACATAAACTTCAACGAGCAACTCGCAGCATTACAAACGAAAATAGGGTGTCCTCTCGTACTCTGTCTTTGGAAAGAGAGATGAGGATTACCCGGCAAGCCAGGGAAACACGACGCATGGAACGAGATGATGCTCGGAGCAAACAAAGAACTGTTTCTCTTGAAAGGAATGCACGATTTACACACGATACACAAGAACGTCAATCTGAAATGGCACGTACACTTCAACAGGCAACAAGGCGTAACACTAATGAAAATAGGATGTCCTCTCGATTACTTTCCTTGGAGAGAGAAACAAGAAACAACCGACTTGCTAGGGTTACACGATTCACAGAAAGAAATGATATTAGGAGCGAGCGAAGAGCTGTTTCTCTCGAGAGACTTGAACGGGAAGCACCGTTTACCCGAGATACCCGAGAACGTCAATCTGAAATGGCACGTTCATTCCAACGGGCAACAAGGCATAATATTAATGAAAATAGGATATCAAGATCACTTTCCTTGGGGAGAGAAACGAGAAACTCCCGACTTGCTAGGGATTCACGTTTCATGGAAAGAGATGATACTCGGAGTGAGCGAAGAGCTGTTTTTCTTGAGAGACTAGAACGGGATGCACGATATACTCGAGAGTCCCGAGAACGTCAATCTGAAATGGCACATTCACTCCAACAGGCAACAAGGCATAATGGTAATGAAAATAGGATATCCTCACATATTTTGTCTTTGGAACGAGAGGTGAGGAACACCCGACCTGCCAGGGATACACGACGCATGGAAAAAGATGATGCAAGGAGCGCACAAAGAGTTGCATCACTTGAGAAACTTGAACAAGGTGCAAGAATGGCTCATACTACCCGACAACGTCAATCTGAAAAATCCCATCCTCTCCAACGTACAGAAAGTAGGATGTCCTCTAGAACTCTTTCTGTGGAAATGAAGCAAAGGAACAGACAATCAGGAAATAAAGTGAACTTTAACAGGAACAATTTACCCTCTGGACCATCAACCGGCCTCAATGAAATTTCCGATATAATAGCTGAGCTGGAAGGGCAACACAATATGGAGCAAAACATCGGTTTAATGAGTTTTATTCCTTCCTTTATTTGTGATAAAGTATCATCAGGATTTGATGTGAGTATTAAAACATTAAGAAATTTATTACTCAATTAAACCCTATTGACAAAATTCTTTGAATTTTAGGTCCTGAGCAAAAGACTGTGGAATTATACTGTGAAGTAAGCATTTTCTATTCATACCATCAATAACTTTCTACTTACATGAATTTAATTAATTGATATTTTCTCTAATTTAACAGTGTACCTGGTAGCGAGAGTATGAATGGCTTCTTTTCTGGAGGAATCATGGCTGTCTCATTATTACTAAGTACCCATAAAAGAATAGTTGTTTAGACTTAATTACACTACTTTCTATTTTATAGCCTATCCTTTATGATTAGAGAAGAAAAATATAAATATAAAAAAATGACTTTTAAACTAATATATAAACAATAATAGTAGAATTGTTTAATAAATATATACTTGTGAAATAGTTATTTTTGCTGTATATTATATTTAAAGAGTATATAATTTATTTTTGAATCGTAGATATACAATGAGAAATGATGTATCATTCCCTAATAGTGTTTAGAACAAAAAAATATGTAGCATATTTAAAATCAATAGTTACCAAAGATAATATAGAATAGATCTATTCAGCAGAATTTGTGTAATCTTTAAATAACCCAATATTTACCCTTCAATTTGAAAAATACAATAAATGGTATTACATACTACAGAAAGTATGATGTATGACTAATGTAAAAGTACTGCAATCGCACCCATAGGAAACTCAATAATTTCTAAAAGTTTGGACATTTGCAAGGTCTGAAATATTTAATATTTCCTGAAGAAGCAAAATCGATCAGAAAATAGGTAGAAAAGTATGGCCAAAACATCCAAAACGGAAAAAGTATCTGAAACAGGAACATGCTTCTGCGTATGAGAAGTTGAAATACTGCCGGCTAATAGGGCTAAAACGAACTTATTAAAGTTATGGCTCATATAACTGACAAAATCTCAATTTACACCATTCAAGGAACATTTCAAAATTTCTCAATGTTTTTGCAGAGTGATCAACCTGAAATTTGGTCGTTACCTATCATTTTGGTCTGCCGCCTCTTCAGGCTAGGGATATAAGGAGGGTAAGGCACCAACACAAACCAAACACTGGTGATAACAAAAAGACCAATACAGGCCAAAATGATCGGGAATAACCAAATTGCATGGTTGTGATCCCGTAGTTCTTCAGGTGTGATGGTTGATGAATCTGAAGTTGTCATTTACTAACATTTTACTCTGCCCATCTTCAGTAGTTTGGTTAGAAATCCACCACTGAAGATGGCAAAACCCACCTGAAAGACCAAAATAGCAAAACTGAGTAGTATTGTAGCTTGGTCGTTTCCTCGTTTCCAGTGGTGGGCTTCCCTTTGGTTTAGCAGGGTCCTTTAAATTTCTGAGCATTCTTAACAATATGTATGCTACGACCAGAATCAAACAATACTATCTGTAGTTTGTAGTTTTACAATCAACATTTTTTTTTTTTTTTTGGCAAAAAAACACGGTGGGGAAAAACTGAACGCCTCAGAAAAATGAAAGCAAACCAAAATGATCAAACTGCTAGCTAGTTTACTTTTCACCACCGTCACTGTTGAGTTTGTATCGGTGCCTCACCCTGCTTATACCCAAACATTCTGAAGATTACGAGAAGATGAAACAAGTCTTTTAGTACAAAATAGGCAATCCAGGTTGATCAGAAACGACCAAATTACAAACAGTACACCTTTTATTAAGAATGTTGACAGAAATTGTAAATGACCCTGCTAAACCAAAAAATCATGCAAACTCACCATTGGAAACGACCTAGGTACTATTCTAAATTTTCCTATTTTGGTCTGGATTTTTATCAACCCAGTGAGGATGGGCAGAGCAAAATACTTGGAAACAATTGAACTGCAGCATTTGTCATTCTTCAGATTACCATGTTGTGTTGGTGTCTCACCCTGCTTATAACTCTGACCAGAAGCAGAAACACATCTGTCAGACACAATAATCAGACTACAATTATAAGAAAAGACCAAGGTAGAATACCAGTCTAAATTTTGCTATGGGCAGAGCGGAATGTTTGGAAACGACCGAACTACAGATTCATCACCCATCAGATCATCAAGCTTGTCGATGCCTCGCCCTTAGACAAAATAATTAGACTAAAATTATTAGAAATGACCAAGATACAATACTACTCGAAATTTTGCTATTTTAGTCTGGATTTGTGTCAAACCTTGAGGACGGGTAGAGCGGGTTGTTCGGAAATGACCGAACTACAGATTCATCACCCATCGTGTTTGTCGACACCTCACCCTGCTTATAACCATGACCAGAAGCAGAAATGTGTTTGATAAGCAAAATTATTTGAAAAGACCAAGACTACTACTCTAAATTTTGCTATTTAGGTCTGGTTTTCTGTCAAACCAGTGAGGATGGGCAGAATGTTTGGAAACGACCAAACTTGTGTCATCGCCCATCAGACCATCGTTGTGTCTGTGCCTCACCCTGCTTATAACCTGACCAGAAGCAGAAACGCGTCTGACAGACAAAATAATCAGACTAAAATTATTAGAAATGACCAAGATACAAATATTGAAGAAAAAATACACATAATATATTCAAAGAAAGGAAAGTGTCTGCACACAGGTAAATCACAATTATATTACTTCCAGAGGCTCACTGTTATCATGATACAGCAGAATTTTTCACTAGAATTGAGAAAAAGCGTAATTTTCCATTGGTATAAATCAATGCTCTGTCTTAAAGACCAATCATTTAGAACACCATCTGAGTTACTTTTTCTACTTGAACATTGATTAAAAATAAAAAATAAATATTGTTTATATTATTGCTATTATTAATATACTTTATTTGTCCATATTTACGTGCAATTTGTTAAAGTTTAGAGCAGGATTAAATTTGTATTTTACATTTTCATCACTCTAATCGATTCACTTTGACGTGTTAGTTTTCACGACTTTGAGGTTGTAGCCTGTAGGTTTTAAACTGTTTCTATTGTTTATTTCTTCGATAACCGTGTTGTCCGGAGAATGTCTACAGTTTTTTTTTAAACTTTATAATAATAGTTTACTTTATATTATTTTCCAAGTGAAGTTCTCGTTCGATCTTTGAAAATGGAACTGAAGAACCCGGTGAAGAAAAGGAACAAGGGCCAACACCACAGCACGCCCAACCCTCCGCTCCCGATTCTCAGCAATTCGCAGATCGTACAAACGGTTTCTGTGATGTTCAACGGGTGCTTCAATGGCACTTCGGTCGTTATCAACGATCCACAAGAAATATCAACTCTTTACAAAAAGGTAAAGGGATTTTTTAAGCACAAGTCAAGAATAAAGTTTTCCCCTTGCAAAACAATAATTTCTTTGAAGAAAAGAGATTTTTTAAAATGTTTTTCTTCCATGTCCATTGGTTTCTTCAATAGATCTTTTTTAATTGCACTGATGGACAAATTTAACTCACCACTATTATTTAGTTTAAAATTGAATACTTCTTTCTACATTAGTTACAGGTAATTAGAAGCTATCATAGATAAAATATACAGTAGATAATGCTTTGTTTACTTATTTATTTACTTTTGTACTGATTAATCCCATTTGCACAAAAAGGTTCCATTCTGCTAGGCCTAAAGATTGCTTTCAGATAATCTTTTTCCTTCATTGATTTCATTTTATATTATTCTAATTCTTAAACCTTTTCAATGGCTCCAGTCAGGCATTTACGTGAGTATGACAGTGGCAGGGTCGTAACGTTATTATAGAAGGAATGCGGCAAAGTCACCAGGAGTGTAAATCACTCTACAATAGGTAGGGTTCTTTGGCACTTCTCTCTAAAAGGCCAGGACAGGGTCAACCTAGATCTACGGGTGGGAGAGATGATAAATTCATCCATCATCAAGCTCTACAAAACTGCAGCATTATGGATAATGAGATAAGACAAATCTGAAATGGTGTCGATTTTCTCCAGGATTGTAAGAACAAGGCTCGATGAAACTAAACTCAGGGCCCAGCACCCAGCTCGTAGACCTCTTCTTACCACAGCTCAGAAAATGGCCAGGCTTCAATTCGCATGGGAACATGTGAAATGGACATTGGAAGATTGGGGACGAATTCTCTTTACGGTTTATGTGAGTCGGCCTCAAATCTTCACATGGGCTTAATTGTAAATAGAGACCCTGAACAGAGGCTTGAAAAATGTTCATGAAAACACCACTGCAGGATTTAACTACTAATTGTAAGTCTAGGACGTGTTAGGACTGCTGACTGGATGCTACAGACTCTGGGGGCATACGTATAATCTCGGAGTGGTGGAAACAAGCCTGTACAGATATTGCCAGGAAGAAGACGGCTTTTGTAGGCTGAGATTCCTACTCCTGAGAGAAGAAAAGCCTAGGCCTGAAGGATATACACAGTTCTTGAAAAAGCTGTGGGTTCTGGTAAAGAGCCTTAAGCTCAAATAGGAATTCTAGACACCAATGAGGATGCACAATAGACCAATACTTATTGTGGTACGCAGGTTGTAAAGATGCCGGCTGGTAATATAATCTAATTGCAGACAAAAGTAATGAAAACACTGGAATCCATTGCATTGTTATTGCAGGAGTAAACTTTGTACTCTAAATTCACTAGTTTCGGCCAATTAATATCTTACAATTAATTAAGGTTTTCAATTTGACCACGAAACTAGTGAATTTAATAAGTTTAAAATGAAGTACACCTTCACTAAAGCTCTCTGTGGCCATTTCATTTGTTGCCGAGAATCAAATTGATTATACGACATTTGAAAAATGGCAAAAAGGGGGGAAAATTCAAAAGGTATGGTTGAGATGGGAAGTTGGTGTCCGAGTGGATCGAGGTCAAGACAGCTCAAGTGGTAGAGCAGTGGCGTATCAAGCCAAAGATCGTGGGTTCGAATTCTGCTCATGCCATTGACTTTTTTTATCTCAACTGAAAACCTTAATTAATCGTTTGTACTCTAAATTAGCACTGAGTGCACCGGACTCTTATCATCAATCAATGGAGGTCCAAAGTCGTTGAATGTAATGTACCATATGCTGCATGTCTTTAATCAGTTCTGTAGGAATAGAAAGAATGATAGTTTGTATAAATTATGTTTTCTTTCATCAAAAGTAATAAAAATTAAATTTTCTACCTTTAAAAAAATGCTTGGTTTTAGAAAATTTTCTACTTGCTCTGTCTCCATAAAAAAATTCTTTAAAAAATATACATTATGATGTTTATTGTTAGAAAAATTATATTTCATTTGAAACTTTCAGGGTTTTTTTGGTAAAGGATCTATGTCGAGGAGTTGCCCGAAGTTTGGAAAGAGGAAAAAAGGCGTGCCCCATGTTATAAGCGAGCAGCAGTGGAAAAGACGAAAGGACTGGGAAAAGAAATTGAGCTCGATTTTGCAAAATCTCCCAAGCCAAGATGAATCCAAGTGCCAAACAGATGATTCCGTCGATCCTGACGATAATGAAATTGAGATGGCCGATAAAGAGGTTTGTAACAAAGATGATGAACCACAAGATGTTCCTATGTCTGAAGTACAATGCAATCAAAATGAAGATAAAGATTCTCTACAAATCGATGAAACTAAATTAACTGAAAGTGAACCGACTGATAAAATAGAAGCTAAAAAATCTGATGTGTTATCTTTAGAAGATGAGAAAAGTAAAGACAGCGACATTCAGATAATGGAAGAAAACAATTCTGAAATAATTGAAAAAGAGCGTCCTAGTCAAGGAGAAACTGACATCGAAATAATAGAAGACTGTAATAAAATAGTTTTACCTCAAAACACAGATATTTGTGTTGTTGAGTCACAAAACACAGATATTTGTGTTGTTGAGTCACAAAAAACAGATATTTGTGTTGTTGAGTCACAAAAAACACCTGAGAATGATTTCGAAATGAAAGATGAAACTGATGCAATTAAAATTGATGAAAAAGAAAATCCAGCCGCACAAACACTGGAGATCATCGACATACCACAAGCAGAAACTGTTTGTAATAAAGAACAAATTGAAAGCGTAATTGACAGATCGGCAGAAATACTTAGCAATAGAGAGATTTTAAGTAGTAATGAAGTTCTAGTCATAGCTGATAGGAATGAAGACATCTTGGAAAATTTAAATAACCTCAATCCTCACATTGAAAAGGAAGCTGTGAATATCGTTATAGAATTATTGCATTTGTCTTTAGAAGAGGCTTTTTTTCTCAGTTTTGCCCTCGGGTGCCTGAACGTCTGCGACCTGAATGGGCAAAATTTGAGTTTAGAAGAAATGTGGTTAATGTTTACCAATTCACAACACGATTTTATCGAAAGCTACGTTGCTTACCATCACTTCAGGTCTAAAGGTTGGGTGGTAAAGACTGGGTTGAAATTTGGAGGAAACTTTCGTAAGTTTATTTATTTATTTATTTAAATCAATATGGTTTAACCATTTATATATTTTTTAGTTCTGTATAAAGATGGGCCTGCATATTATCATGCCTCTTACATCGTTGTTATAGAAAACATTAACAAATTCGATGACGAAGAACAGAAGAAAACATGGGCTGACATGGTGACATTACATCGAATGGGAGAAGCTTCGAAAAAGGCATGTTTCAACCAAAAACTAAAATTTATTAACAAAATTAAAAAGCTAAACTATGATTCTTTTATTACAGGAAGTTCTTGTTTGCAACATTCTCTGGCCGAGTGAATTGAAAGATATCAAGTGTCCACTATTTTTAAAATCTTTTACCGTTCGTGAAACATTGTTGAGGCGATGGCTGCCCTGTCATGAAAAGGATGAAGACTAATAATTATTGTATTATATTACTATAAATACAAAACGGCTGTGAATTTTATGTTTTCAAATAATATATGTACACAAAATGTCTATGTAGTCTGCTGACAATTACTGACAAGGTACAAGACAGCTGATACATTATTTGTTTAAAAAAAAATTTATTTACATTACTTTTATATATGTACAAAATTGTAAAGTCTTCAATATAAAAAGTTGGAAAATTAAGTTAAACACTCTGAAATGCTGCCAATATACTTTTACCGGTTCCTCCGTAGACTGTTGACTATCCACCTGGTACCTGGGGCTCAGTGGAAATTCTTTTTCTCTTCATGCGTCTTCGGCCTCTTGCCAGCTTTGCTGAATGTATCCTCATCTCTGGCTGGATCTGGTCACCCCCAGTGCAAAAAAAATTTTACACTTATTTTCTACCTGTAACAATACTCAACTGATTTCCTGGCACTTTTGAGATTGAGGTGCATTATTTCCAAGACCTCCAAAACAGACTCATTTTCTGCCAATATTTTCTTAAAGAAAGAAGTTGGCGATAGATTGGTTATCACAGTATAAAGAGTGATCATTTAATTCATAAACGATTAACTTTAACAAAAAATTGTCTTATACGAACCCTAAATTAATTTTGGCTAGAAAACAGGTGGTAACAGATTTAACATAACTTTCTCATATAGCTGGGAAATGATGCTTACTTTGTTATTTTAAACAAATCCCATATTTTTATTGTCCAATTCGATTCTAGTTTATTTCAAGCCACTTTTACTGAAAGGAAAATTTTGATATGATTAACCATTTCTGAGTTATGCCCACAGAAGAAGTGTGAAACAAGCCAAGCTTGTTTGCAACAAGATGGCCCTCCCTGTTTTAGATTTAAAATGCAAGGGTTTTATATTGTGCCTTTTTGCACAAGGAACACATTTGAGCATTTATTATAAACCTAAACTTTAATAAATGGTCAAATCAGCAACAATACATAACAGCTGAGTCATTTTAAAAATACAATGTTCTCAATGATGATAAAAAATCCTTTTTTATAGTTATATTTTCTCAAAAATTAATATAGGCTAAGTACAAAAGCAACCCCATGATCCCTACCCTATTTCAAGACGATTCCTATCCTAAATTAACTTGCTAATGTGATAGTTTTCGAAATAAACGGGGAGGGCCATCTTGTTACAAAAATCATACCCCAAGCATTTTCCATCGGGCATAACTCAGAAATGGTCCATCAAAATTTTCCTCTCAATAAAAGTATGGGATTCTCATTCAAAATATCAATCGGTGTCATTTCCCAGCTAGAAGAGAAAGTTATTTTAAATCTTTATCACCATGTGATTCCTAGCCAATATTAATTTGGGGTTTGTTTAAAACCATTTTTTGCAAAAGTTAATCATTTCTGAATTAAATAGGTGGATTAGTTGATACACCCTGTATATTATGATTGCCCTAAAATGAAAGATTACACATTCTAAGACCATAAATATAATTATGAATGTCTTATTAAATTGAAGCAGTATTTATTCAGAGCAACTATTTTCAATTTTTAATGTACTTTATTATGTGGAGCCCATAAAAATTTTTTTTCTGATTCAATATGCTGGCCAAACAGAAACGTAGAAAATACCATGCCCGGGCAACATCATCAATTATGAAATGATATCAAAGATGCAGTTTATTTAAAAAAAAAGTGAAACTGAATGTGGGTTCGGGGCCATGCTGGAATAAATTATAATGAAAAAAGTGGATTCATTGACGAAAAAAGCAGTGAAGATAAGGTCCAATTTGCTGTTCAGGCTTCTGCACGAAGAGCTCATGAACATCTGTTTGGAAGCAACATCTAAGTTTGGAAACAGCAATACAGAGAATCAGAAAAAGATGGGTTTTCCAAACAAATTCAACCTCGTTTCCGAACAGTACACTGGTTTCAAGGAGAACCAATTAGCAGAGCTCTGGGTAAGACAAATATCATCATTGCTCCAACCATGCCATCCTATTACCTATACAAAATCAGTGTGTCAGATTTACCAGCTTGCAAGTATCATGGGGAAATTTAGAGCATATAATACTAAAATGACCTAAAAATAAAGCCAAAAGAGAAGAGCTATTCAATTAAATAAAAGGTATAATAGAGCTTACATATAATTATAAAACAATTTTATCCTCAAGAAATGTTAATATTTACAAAAAGTTTTTAATTAATTGAGCAAATTTACAAGAAGATTCACACATTTTTAAAGGAAACAAAAAAGGAAGTTTAGAATAACAATAAAAAAATATTAAAATAGTTTTAATTGGCATGACTATAGCGCATCAGCTAACATAAAAAAAGGCTTAATATTTAAGAATTTTCCACTTTCCCCCTTGGCTTTGATTTTTTCGTGATTCCCGTCATTCTGTATTCAGCTCTTTCTTGAAGGTATTCTTCTGTACAGAGCTGTTTGAATTCTGGATTTTGGTACCAGTACGTGTAGCAATCTTTCATTTTTGTATTCTCCTTCCTGCAGTTGAGTACCATGAGCAATCCATGCTCTTTACAACACTTGTTGAAATCTGTAACCAAACAATTTGTAAAATCAAGAAAGAAAAAAAGAGCAAAGCCTCTATTTGAATTCATTGAAGCAAACATACATAAAAAAACGCCAATTATAAAATTGGCAACAGTAATAAAATTGGATCTCAAATTCATACGAAAGATTTGTATTAAAGCAGCCTCATCAGAGAGTTATGTATGATTTGCCAATTTAAATTGTTTTTACACTACCTGTATGCTAAATATAAATAAATTTATAATTATAAAGCTACATTACTAAAAATGTACTTATACTATGAGGTGGGAATGAAAATATGGACCATTTTAAAACTTAATTTACACCACAAGGATCTATCCTATTCCCCATCCTGTTCAATATCTTCTTCTATGACTTCCCAAACCCTGGAAATTTTAGCGTGCTTCATTTTTATCTGATGATGCTGTGATCTATGCTACTAGAAAAGACATCAGAGAAGATCAAATTTGCGTTCAGGTGGCCTTGAAGGAAATCAGCTCATACTGCTCAGTCCGTAGACTCCATATTAACTTCCGTAGGTTACTACATTTTACACTACAAAGAACCCCAAACCCTCCTGAACTAAATGTTGAAGAAACAAACATCCCTTGGAATTCCAAAGACAGCACAGCCAAGTACCTGGGAGTTTACTCGGACCAAAAGGGCCAGCCTCTACCTCCAGAATAAGGCAACTCCAGGTACTGCAAAATAAGGTGCTGAGAACTGCTGTCGATATGTGCGTAACTCTCAGTTACATCGATTGCTGAATATACCTACCATTAGGGAAATAATTGGCAAAAGATTCCTCAAGTTCCACTCCAAACTCCCTCCGGTTTGCATCACATTTTCACCTAGGTGAAAATCTGACAACACATCTCAAATCATGGACTATGCAGGATTAGCGATATTGGTTGAAGTGATGACAGTTAAAAATGTGAAATGTGTTTGTATGAACTGCACTACTGAAAAACTATACAGGGTAACTCGATGTAGTCTTCCCTCGTTCTTCGAGTGGAAGAACCGGTTTCCTTCAGCTTCTGATGAAGTCGTTGGAAGGTACAATTTGCTGGAACGACTTCACGTGGAAAACTAGCTTGGTATTCTCTCCATGCTGCAGTAGCATTACCGTTGCAGTAACCATAAGTGAAATGCATAACATTAAGATGTTCGTGTTATGTTCAAGGACATGATTTATATCACCAACCTGAGGAAGTTGTCAGCTAATAACATAAAGCTAACTGATTGAATTGAAAAATAAAGAACTGACACAAAACTCAAGAGCCAGCCAAATTTCCTGGAAAAATTGAGCGTGCCCCCCTTCACCAACACTTTTTTTCCCCCCAACAAAATGAAATTTTTTTTAGGTCTTGCAGAAGCACAATCCAAATAGATAGGTATACCGCTGTAAATTTGCAAAGCTCCAGGAGTTTGTAGTTATTAACATTTAACAATCTAACATTTTCAAAAAAATTCAAAAATTTCAACATTTTTTCCTGAATTTTTTCATCAATTCTGCAAGGTAAATAGGTTTCCTTATAGCAATTGAACGTTCTTTCAGGTGGCAAGCTAGATTTCTCTACAGTCAGTAATTCTGAAGTTTATAAGCAATTTAGTGGACCTAAGTCAAAAAATAAAATAAAATAAAAAATTTAAAATTACTTCTTTACCATTGAGATTTGGACAGGGGTTTATAGGAAGTTTTTTTGCTGCATATGGTGATTAGAAACACCTCTGAAATTTTCAACACTTATCACCAGTCCCCGTATAGTTGGGCTAGTAAAAAAAATTATTTACATATTTTATTTTGAGGTTTTAGAAGGTTGAATACAATTTTTAACAATCCTTGATCTATTGCAGAACCTCTATAAATTATAACTACACCTTAGAAAGTGCACTTTCTCCTATAATACTAAGCACTTTTCTCGGTGCCTCTTTATGTACATATTTCAGTGTGTGGTGTGTGAATTCACTTACTGACGATGCTGTACTGGGCAATAACTGGGCTTATGCTTCACATTCACAAAGAATGTGCTAATATTTCTGGTTTCTCTTTACAGAGTCGGCATGTTTCTGTCTCTGCTTGGCCTGTCTTTTTTTTATGTTTAGTTAAGATTGTTGGACTGGAGTCTGATATAGATTTACAATTTTTCTGAAATTCTGCCTGCTGAGAGTTCCTTCACCTTCCTTTTTGAGAGATTTATAAATCTTTTAGCTTGTCTCAGACCTGGTGCTTTTGTCCAGTGTGTTGCTTGAGTTTTTTTTTCTCAAGCCTTCCAGTTCCAACTTAAGCACACACTATGGTGCACAGTTGCAACCAATGCAGTTATGTGGTTTTGATCCCGTGTATGAGAGGACTGTTCCTTTTTTGGCTAGTTGGTTAGCCTGTTAATTTCGTCCTTCTATACCTTCATGTCCGTGCTCACTCTACCTAATCTTGTTTTCCTAGAGCCGTTAGGCAATTTAGGCACTCCCAGACAAGTTTGGTGTTGAAAGCCTAGTACCTTTATGGCTCCCTGATTGAGAGTATGTAAATCACCACTTATATTTTTTTAAACTCCTATGCACAGAGTTGTATTGTATGGACATCAGCTTGAAAAATTGTTGGGATTACGAGCTTTGCTAAGTTCAGCCCTTTTACCCTTAACTTACTCCCTGTTTAATCTTCGATCCATTTGTGTATCATATCAGGAACTTTCTTGAAACTTGGGGCTACCTTTTTTCTAAAGGTGCGTATTATTTACCACTTCAAAGAATCTGTCTGACATTAAATGAAACAGAAACAAGACTCATACTTAAACAATGGCAAAATGTCTACCTGCAACTTCACTCGTACACTTTTCAAGTCGAGCTTTATCCCTCATTTTTTTAGGAATGAGAACTTCCATTTCTACTTTTCTTAATGTCTTGTCATTTGGATCTCCTGTAGCACAATCGTGTTATCACTAATTAATAGAAAGGTTTAAAGTTAAATTTTACTTTAAATTCTTACCTAGTCCATGTGGCCCGAGACTATCTTTATGTTTTCTTTTAATTTCAGAATTTACACTCTCAAAAGCCTCAACAACCATAATTTTTTTAAAAGCTAAAATAATTCTTAATTGACCACTAAGCTTAAGTAGTACTTAAATTCCCAAGATAAATATCTTTAAAAGCAAGAACCTGACATACATTGATAACCTTCCAATGATCGATTTTTAATATATCTGACTCAAGTGAAAATCAATCGATAAAGTTCCATAAATTAAAAATTTTGAACAAAGATGTGATGAATCACTACGATTAACTTGGTAATTAAACATTAATAGAACCATGCTCAAGGGAATTAAAACTGAAACTAAGTTACAGACACCCTTGTAATTGCAAGCAACACTAGTAGGGGTGCTTACTAGAGAATTATTTTAAAATTTTATAAATCACTTATATGTACAATCATGAGTATAAAAAAGACCTTAAATAAGCTAAATACCATGCATCATAAGGCTTTAAGCAAAGGGGCCTTTTAAATCTAGACCAGTTGATAATATACTGGTTGTTGAGGACGTCGGTGGCCACAACCATTTACTCATCACTATAACATAAAGGTCCTGGGTTCGAATCCAGTGGCTCTGCATTCAAACCCGACATACTTACAAATGTTTTTTTCAAAAACTCCGGCACCTTGAGGGTTTATATGGCCTCTGCTGTTACGAACCCTCGTAAAAATAATATAATATACTGGTTGAGGCAGATGAGATGAGGTATATGAGTAAACAAGTTCTCACCGTCAGCCTCTTTACAACCTCCGTAACACGACCAGAATTTTCTATTGTGGATCTCCATTGTTTATAACCCCTCATTAAGCTTAATGCTTTTTACAAATCACGAAGCTTTTAAGGAATGTGTGTATCCGTCAGGCCAGGGTTTTTCCTTTCCCAGGAATAGGAATCTCAGCGTACATTTGCATTCTCTATTCTTGTACCTGGCAATATCTGCACAAGCTTGTTTTTGTTTGTTCCGAGTATACCTCTGGAGCTTGCACTTTGCAGTATCCAGTCCGAAGTCATAAAGCAACCTAGGCTTAGTAGTTCTGCCATTAATGCAATGCTCTTTTCTATATAATAAATGACTTTTTAACTGATTGTCTGAAGGGTTTGCAGTTTTTGATATTTGGGATGCTGCAAAGGGTTCAGGGCCAATCTGTCCTGATCGAACTTTCTTTGGCAAGTTTAATGGCCTCCTCATTGCTCTTCTCTCCTGTGTGCTCTGGTGCTCAAATAAGAATGTTTTTATTTACAGTCTGAACAGGTCAGGTACCCAAATTTTGTTGATTCCTCCAATGTCTGACAAAGCATAAATGCCCAAATGGTTCTGGAGTCTGTCTGGGTCTATATTTCCAAAGTTCGAGTGTGTTGTCTTTAGTGCCACCTGGCTGTCCGGTTAGATGGATTTTCTTCCAGTCTTTAGTTTATTTAGACAGATACCAGCACCTGCCAAGTTAATCAAAGTGGCAGAGAATCAAATGAAAAATAAAAAAATCTATTATATTATTTTTTTACACTTTTATTAACAAACTGTCATAATAAAATATTTCTCAAAAATATCTCACTGGTAATTTAAAGCAGTAGGCAATTTTAAATTTGCTATTTTTGTTTTCAATTTAACAGATCTATAGCTCTAATTCGTTGTCGTGACATTTATCAAAGCACTTTTCGACCATTTCATCAGTGATTTCTTTCAACGAGGAAGGATTCCATTTAGGATTTTTGTCTTTATCGACAAGCAGAGCTCTAACACCTTAAAAATAAATAAATAAATAAAATATATTAATTTATGATGAAATGAAGAGTAGTACCTTCATAAAAGTCTTTTGAAACAGCTCCTTTCAATGCTGCAGTAGCAAGTCTGTAATCGGTTTGAAGAACTTCTTTGACAGTTTTGGTCCTTGCCTCCTTTATTGCCTTTAACGTCAATTTCAAACCAGTAGGAGACATTTTCCTCAAAGTTTTTAATGTGTTTAAAGACCAGCCTGAACCTTCTTTCTCGAGTGCTTTGAAAATTTCCTCTACAGTAGGCAGGACAAAAATCTGATCAACCAATGCTGGCATTTCGTTTATGGGTTTAGGACAAGATTTCATATCGCTTGTAAACTTAAGCAGATCTTCATCTAGGTTTTTCGCTCTGATTTTATTGTTGACGAGAGCGTCACGCAATTTCGGTACATCTTTACTATCCAGGTAATGGGTGGCAATTCCATGGTATACGCATTCGAGTCCATTCAACCTGTGTCCAGTGAGACCGAGATAGATGCCGACACCGCCAGGCAGCCTGGACAGGAAATGTGTTACGCCCACATCAGGAAATAATCCGATCGCAGTCTCAGGCATGGCGAACATCGTCTTATCTGTCGCAATCCTATACTTCCCATGAATGCTCAAACCCACTCCTCCGCCCATCGTAATGCCATTAATTAAAGCTATAAACGGTACTTTAAAATTTGCAATTAGATAGTTCAAATTATACTCTCTCTGGAAGAATTGTTGGCCTTCTCTAACACTTTTGGGAAAGTTCTTTGTCACATTGACAACATCTCCACCAGCGCAGAATGCCCTGCCTGTCCCTTCGACCAATACCATTTCCATGGTATCCTCCCATTTCACGAGTCTGTCGTATATCTGGTCAACCATGCAATAATTTAAGGCGTTTAAGGTCTTCGGATTGTTAAGAGTGACAATACCGATCTTGCCATCTTCCTTAAAAACTACACCACTCTGTAAGTCTGTCGCCATCCCTCTCCGACATGACCTGATCACAAATGGCCTCAGAAACCTTGCGATAGCCACCTATTAAGAAAATCCTTCATTAATACTGAGTAAAAAAAAAGTTAATTAAGCTAATTCGAGGCATATAATGTCGAAATTATACAAGTCGATCTTTTGCATAATTATTCAATCCAAGGCCGTTCTCTCGGAACGGCAACAATTAAATTAAGCCATCTCATCAATAAAATTCTAAATAAAAAGATAAATTCTCTTAGAAAAACAATATATACGAACCATTCTAGAATTAATGAAGTGAAAAAATATATATTCAAAGGGTGGAGAGTTTGCTACACGAGCTTATTTAAACCAATTATTCCTCGGTGTTGAAAAAACAAGAAAAAATTCAAGTCAACGTCATTACAGGACGGCGGGTGATAAAAATTTGATAAAAAACGAGGAGGTAAACATTGAAAAAAATAGCACTAATTCCATCACATGCGCGCTAATGTACATATTTAAAAATAATAGTATTAAAATTGATTATAAGACAAATTAGCCTGTTTGGAAAATCAAGATCGATGACTATCCGATAATTTTTTTGTAAAAAAAAGTCTTCCTCAAAAAGTATCTACGGATGAATGGGAAGGTAACAATTGTTTCGAATCAAGTCCTCCCGTAAACAGGTGTTCTCGTACTTCACACTTCACTCTACAGACTACACCGTCCGAAGTATGTCTGCAGTAACTCGGACCTGTGAATCTCCCGGGTGCAACGCAGACGCCAAGCTACAATGCCCGACCTGCCTGAACCTAGGGATCCAAGGGTCCTATTTTTGTTCCCAGGTATGCCCTGTTTCGTAAATATCCAACCGGGGGAGGTCCATGCATCTCAGACTATATTGCCTTGGGTACACAGAGTTGGGGTCTTCAAAGCATTAAATATCATGTCGGAGAAGACTTAGGCTAGAAGACTAGAATGAACCTGTAGTATTGGTCTTTTTGTTTTTTTCTATTTTGGGATTGTACAGATTAAAAAAAAATTACTTCTTATTCCTGTTGATTTATGATTTCATCCGTGAGCTTATGAGTTTCTTCATGCTGTTTTCTCTTAGCATGTTACCTCTTTGCTTAGAAAAGCTTGTATTAACTGTGTACACTAGGTTGAGGTGCTTTTCAAAATGCTAAATATCATGCCAGAGAAGACTTATATTAAAATACTAGAATGAACCTGTGATATTGGTCTTATTGTTTCTTTCTGTTTTGGGATTGTAGGTATTAAAAAAAAAAGAATTTTACTTCTTGTTCCTACTGATTACTTATCTTTATTCATGAGCTTATAAGTTTTTATACCTTTCTCATATGTTTACTCTAACACATCATATCTCTTTGCCCATGGTCACTCTCAAACATGACACACAAGTGACATATTTACACAGAAAACAAACTCTTTGAGCCCTGAAGACGATCTCAATAAAGATCGAAACGTTGGCACAATAAAGAACGTTTTTCTAAAACCTACATCACACACCGTATCTTACAATCTCCAAATAATCATTGTCTAACGGTCACTAAACACCACACATGCATGCTTTGTGCACATTAAGTTTTGGTGCTTTTTAAAATGCTAAATTTCATGCTATAGAAGACTTAGGCTAGAAGGCTAGAATGAACCTTCAAAATTTTACTTCTTGTTGATTTATGATCTTCATCCATGAGCTTATGAGTTTTTACACCATTCTCATGCTGTTTTCTCTTAGAATGTCTTATCTCTTTGCATAGGAAAGCCTATATTAACTGCATGCCTTGTATACACTAAGTTTTGGTGCTTTTTACAATGCTAAATATCATGCCAGAGAAGACGTATGCTAGAAGACTAGAATGAACCTGTAATATTGGTCTTATTGTTCCTTTCTATTTTGGGATTGTAGGGATTTAAAAAAATAATTTTGTTTATTGGACACAAAACTTTTTTTTTAAATAATTTATTTTACATATTGCTATCTGTACAAAATATACATTGAGCGAATAGTTTAGTTATAAACAAATCTGACAGATCTGTCATACCAGAGGCAGTATGGAGAGAAAACGACCAGTGCTGGAACTTTCTTTTATTTAATTGGGTGGCTTAGATAGGCAACGAGGCCATCGTTGCTTTAAACGGCACAGAGAATTGTAAGGGCAAGATGTTATGTAAAGAGTTAGGGCTGGTAGGTTAGGTTGGAAGGATAGTTTAGAGTGGAAATTGAAGAAGTGTGTTCAGATAAGATCTTTCATGAAAGGGATTTTAAGATCTTTATGGATTGTTTGAGTGGTAGTGTAACGGAAGCATTGAGGATACGGCGGGGAACTTTAGATTGAAAAGATTGTTGGATACTGGTTGATTTGGCTGAGCCCTACAGTCCGACTTTGCAGGTCCAAATAGGTCTGATGAGTGTTTTGTAAGCGATTAGTTTGCTATATACATATGCTTAGTTTGATTTTGGTCTCAGAAGGTGTCTGAGTAGTCCATATCTATTGTTAAGTTCTTGCCGTTTTAATCTTATATGTGGATTCCATGTAAGTCTACTATCTAAGTAAAGCTCACGGTAGCGGACTTGGTTCGATGGTGGTACTATCTGTTGGTAATGTGCACTGGTGGACAGTTTTGATGTTTGAGCATAAACGTAACTTGTTTTATTTGCAAAAAAGAAAAGAATTTTACATCTTGTTCCTATTGATTTATGATCTTTATCCATGAGCTTATGAGTTTCTATACCCTTTTCATGATGTTTTCTGTTAGCATGTCTTATCTCTAGCATAGGAAAGATATGCTTTGTGTACACTATGTTGGGGTGCTTTTCAAAATGTTAAATATCATACCAGAGAATACGTACACTAAAAGACTAGAATGAACCTGTAATATTGGTCTTAATGACATAATTAAGCTTTTCACAGACGATTTCGAATTTTATTTTGAAATTTCTTCATAGGGCCTGTAAGGGTGATGAACTAATAGTTTCGTCCTTTTGGATCATTTTGATATGCCTGTTGTTGGTGTTTTGATTTCTCTTCATCATCACTGATGGGTTTATGCAATTCCATCATTTAACTGGCTCAACAGGTTGGCTAGAAGCCGAAACTGATCTGACAGAAAAACAGTGAGGAAGCCTACTAAAATGAGTAAATATTGTAGCTATCTTGATCTATGTCCAACCTAATCTTCCTATTTTTGTCTGTCATACCCTTTTCACCATGTTTGTAGTTGGTCATACTGTGTGAAGACCAACTACTCAAGATTGTGAAATATTACCCATCCAGGAAGGCTGGTGTAATCAGGGATGGTTGAGAAAACAAATTCTGAAATATTTTCTTGACTTCCATGGTATAAAGAAGCTGTACTTTGATTGTATAATCATCCTATTCTTCGTAGAGGCACTGAAGATGTGAAATACTGAAACGAATGTGACAGACCAACTCAACAACAGACAAAAATGATTAGTAATGATCAAATTACCTTGATTATTATTTTTGTATGGGTGTGTAATAAACAATGAGCTTCAAGCATTGCAGGATGCCCTTTACTGACATCATCACATTATTTCAAAAATTCCAGTTGTATCCTTTGAATCTAAATGAAAAATAATAGTTTGATGCAAACATAATTTAGGCAGTTAATGTCATTGTCTCTTTATTTAATTTTAATTTTTTTTTGTAAATATATATTGTAATTTTTCAGACTTGTTTCAAGGAAAATTGGAACACCCATAAAGTATTACACAAAATTGCCAGTAAGAGTTGTGTTTATTATGTTGTCTTTATGATTTTTTTTCTTAACAAAACGTTTAAATTTAAAATTTAATTGACAGAAGGAGTTGGAGATTCAAATGGAGGTCAGGAAGTGTACAACCCTTGGCCGAATTATAGATTTACAGGTATGCAATTTAAAAAAATAAAGTTTTCCAATGTCAATTGAATTTTTTTCTTTCCAGGGAAACAGAGACCTTTTAAGCAAACCCCTAAACGGACGGTACCAAAGAAAATTGGACGGCCAGATTATGCCGACCACTCTGAGGGAGTACCGCTGTCTGAACAAAAAATGCGTCAAATCGCGCAGATCAGAGTTCTTTCTGATGATGAAATCGAAGGAATGAGGGTTGCTTGCAAGGTACTCGACGGCAAGTATATTTGTGACCGGTTTTTAAATTTAATGCTTGTGTCGTCTCCAGCTTGGCCGAGAAGTATTAGAAGAAGCTGCAAAAGTAATCGACGTAGGTGTTACGACGGACGAAATAGATAGAATTGTTCATGAGGCTTGTATCGAAAAAGAATGCTATCCTTCACCGTTGAATTATTACCAATTTCCGAGGTCATGTTGTACCTCCGTCAACGAAGTGATCTGCCATGGAATTCCTGATCTGAGGCCTTTGGCCAACGGGGACATTTGCAACGGTGATTTAATTGAAGTTGTGTTATAAGTTTAAGGTTTTCTAAAAAGAAAATTATGTGTTTAGTTGATATAACTGTGTATCACAGAGGGTTTCATGGTGATCTCAATGAAACATTTTGGGTCGGAGAGGTGGGCGAAGTAGGTAAAAAACTGACTAAGGTGACTTGGGAGTGTCTTCAAAAGGCTATTGAAATCGGTAAAATATTACAAGGTTTGACCATAAGTTAAATTTTTTTACGCCTTTAAATTTTAATTTTAGTGAAACCTGGCGAGAAATACAGAGAGATAGGAAACGTAATACAAAAACATGCCCAAGCTCATGGATTTTCCGTTGTTAGGAGTTACTGTGGACATGGAATTCATGAACTTTTCCATACTGCTCCGAGCATACCGCACTATGCTAGTAAGATTTTTGTTCAATAAGCATATTGAGTAGTTAGTAATTGTCTTTCTTATTGTTTTATATTTTTTTAAACAGAAAATAAGGCTGTTGGGGTTATGAAACCTGGTCACTGTTTTACTATTGAACCAATGATTTCTCAAGGTCTGTGATGTGAGAGTTAATTTTAAGATAATTGAATAACGTTTGATTTTTTATAATTATTTTACTGAAGGTACGTGGCGAGATGAAATGTGGCCTGACAACTGGACTGCTGTCACTGCTGATGGACTTCTTTCTGCTCAGTTTGAACACACGCTACTCGTAACGCCCACAGGCGTCGATATTTTGACAGCAAGAACAACAAAAAATGGCCAACCTTATTTTATGGATAAATAACATAAGGAGTGCCTTTAGTGCTAAGAAATCAATCTATATGATTTTTTCCTTTTTCTTTCTCTCCCTTTTTTTTTAATTTTTTTTTTTTAAATGATAATGAGGTGCACAATTTCTCAGCAGGAACGATAGGAAATTTGTACCAGTTGTGAGCAGTCACTTGTCGGTACAACTGCAGTGTTGGACATTTTAATCAATTTGTTGCCTTCTTCAAAATAAAATAAAATATATATACTGTATAAAATGAGCGTTTATTGTAGAAATTATTGACATATAATTTTTCAGAAATAAAACAAATAACGAAAAAATAACAGAAAAATCTAGTCAATACCTACTTTTGAGTTCTGACACACCAGGTTCATTGTTTTACACAATTAAATTATATACATTTGATACAAACATTTTAATATAAAAGAGAGTGTAATTTTTCTCAGTTTCATTTGAATAAAGTTATATAAAAAAGTATGTGTACTTGTAACCTATTTTCCTTCATGCGTGTGCACTATTTTTGTTTCATTTTATTAACTGATTTATTTTTTAATGCGGGTTTGCCTCAGCAGAGGTCATTATCAACTTTTGAGGTGCTGATGTTTTTGAAAAACTTCATTAAAACTTAAGAGCATCATGTCAACGCCTTAATCATTGCGGCCACTGTCACCCCATGTTCGTTATTATTACAATAATATAGTAATTATTACCAATATGATGCCAGTAAATAGTAAATAATGATATGTTATCACTAATCACTGTAAATTGAAAATGAATATACAATTATAATTAGTTTAAGGATTAACAACACCAAAAAATGGAAATTATATTTTGAATTTATGGCCAATTCCCATGAGAATCTTGTTTATACTTATCGGCACTCATTGCCAAAAAATATGGACACTTGTATAAAAACGATTCAAGAAGTGTGAAGGAATGATAAAAATTTAATAATAATATAAAAAAAATGTTCAAATCAATGTAAGGAAAGAAAAGTGTCACAATGTAGTGTCATTTCCATGAGCCAAAGAATCAGACTAAATTTTAAATTATATGTATTATAATTAGATTTTGAAAATATTTTTAGTCTGGTATTACGCTGTACAATATGGAAATTTAGCAAATTGATCAATTGTGGCCAGCCAGTCATATTATTTAAGAGTTTGTAAAGTATACTTGATAAACTATAAATGAATAATATGGGACTCCCTGCAGCCAGGGGCGTGTCATGGGCCTGAGGGTGCTATGGTGTGCCGGATTTGGTCGGGGGTCGAGCGGCGAACAAGACATTTTGCGTTTTTAAACCCCAGGTCTGTGGAATTTGAGTGGCAGCACATACACCCACATCTCTTTAAAACTGTGTCAGAAAATGTTGCAAAAACAGTCGCATATTTAAAAGGGTTTGTAAGAAAATATCAGATCATTATTTTGTTGTCTTATGTTTAACGGCTGAAGTAACCAAGTATGTTCTAATAATTTTAAACCAGAGAGTGCAAATAAATTACTGCTGTGCAATTTCTATTGAATTAGTATTTTATGATGTGTTGACCAAATAACTGAAAAATATTCTAAAATGAGATGGACCTAGCCTTAAACAGTATATACATTGTTTCTGTATCCTTAAATATTTTTTTAAGTTCTATGTAAGAAACCTAAAATTTGATTTGCCTTATTAATTACTGAAGTGCAAGATAAGTTAAATGTTAAGTTGTTAGATTACATAGGTGTTCCGAAGGTTTTTTTGTCTGCCTGTACAGGTTGACTGAAGGCAATTGCCGCATCGGCGGTAAAGTCCAGAGTCATTTGGGACTGCATTAGAGCCCTGTCAGACACTGGGGAAAATAAAATTATCCTTGTCTGGGTAACAGGGCAGAGGGGCAACAAAGAGGCCGAAAAATTGACCAAGGAAAGTTTGATGAGGGACACCTATTGGTCCTGAACCCTTTTGTGGCTTACCAAATTGCCAAAAATGCAAATCCATTAGACAATTGATTAATAATAAGTCCTTCACTGAATGTAGCCCGGTGACAAAGGCATGAAAGTTTATCAATGGACCATTATAGAAACTAACGGCAGAACTACTAAATCTAGTACGTGCTATGACTAGAATAATAGTTGAACTGCTGTCTGGATGCTGCTGACTCCGGAGGCATATGTATAGACTCGGAATGGCAGAAACAAGCCTGTGCGGATATTGCCAAGAAGAAGAAGAAACAGCAGAACACGTCCTCTGTTGGTGTGAAGGCCTATGCAGGCTGATTCCTAATCCTGGGAGAGGAAAAGCCAGAGCCTGAAAGAAACACATGGAAGCCTTTGAAAAAGCTTTGGGGTCTGGTAAAAAGCCTTAAGCTTAAAGTTGCAAAATAGACCAATCTGATGGCATAAATGTAGAAGTAGACAATTACGGCTTATTATACAAATTAACAAAATTAAATTAATTAAAAAAATGAAAACTTATTATTAATTTGTTGAAGTTGTGAGAGTGGTAAAGAATAAGGCAGTTCAGAAAAACACCTTTTTCATTTTTTTACCCACCTTTATTAAGGTCATCTTCAGGGCCTGGTAAATTACAAAACATGTTGATTGTAAAAAATACAATTTATATTTACATTTTAAATTGTATTTTTTGCCCTGAAGATGGCCTGAATAAAGGTCGAAACGTCAGCAAAAAAAAAAAAAAAAAGAAGTTTTTCTAAACTACCTCACACTTGACCACTCCTCACGATTTCAACAAATTATGAAACAACAGGCCACTAAGAAACAAACTTATTATAAAGATACAATGTAAAGTTCTCTGGTAAGAAGAAAATGCTTTTTGATGCTTTTAATTTTGCTTGCAGACAGAGAGAAACTATTTAATTTAAATTTCACCTAATCAACTTTACTCCAAAAGAACCAGTCTATCAACTTAAAAAACCATAACTACGATCAAAGAATCTAGTCAAAAAGCTCATAATGGTCTAAATGTTCTGTGAAATGGTTAAAAATAGTTGTCTTTCTCAAATATGTAACATAATTCAGCAGCAGTGCCCTGATGATGCGACTATATGTCACAAAAGCTCGGTGAATTGTTTGCATAAATTTGTAACTTCATTCAAGACCATAAACCTGATCTTCTTCAACACAGTAAAACATTAGCCCGTTCACGCTACAGCCACTTCAGTGGGACATTTCTCTTACCCAAGGAGGACTGTATATGTCTGTTTATGAAGAGGCACCTGGAAATTGCTCTATTCCTTCTAAAACTGAGCACTTCCCAGGCGCCTCTTCATAGATCTCCTTGGGTAAGAGAAATGTCCTATCGAAGTGCTCAGTTTTAGAAGGATAGAGCACTTTCCCAGGTATGACTATAAGCCATAGGGGTTCCGCAATAGACCTGTTTATGTCACAGTAGAGGAAATTGTTTTCTGCAAGAACCCCCAAAATCCTTTAAAAAATCATTTTTCATAAGTATTAAACAATAAGGTATATTTATGAAGTAAATAAATTTGTTATTAATAATACCTGGTGGGCCTGTCATGGTTTTGTGACAAACTATGATTTTTTTTATATACATCACAATGATGGTAGAGAGAGCCCCTATTGTTATCATAAGTGAAACCTCTCGGTGAAAATTTCCCGCCTAAAGTTTTGTCGGTACTTCAGTGGTTGATTTAAGTTTAACGACTGGTATACTGATGAATGAAGTTTTCGGTTTTTCTTTGCCTAGTGTTATATTTATTATGAATATGATTTTGTAAATCTCATTAATTTTATAAAAGCAAACATTTTGCCATGGGGCAAAGGACTCATTTTACATCTGTGAAACAGGGCGAGCTGAAGTTTCTAAGAGAACTGCCTGTTTTCAAAGGTATCAGCTTCCTATTTTTGACCCTGTACTTTAATTAACATAGGTAATTTTCACAGATATTGGAGGTGATCGAATATTGATATATGAAGCGACGGAGTTGGTCGGTTTCAGTGCAGACAATGAACACCTAGACCGGTACGCCAATACGCTCCAGGCCAGACTCAAGGCACAATGCAAAGAAGCTGTCATAGTCGACTTTTCCCTTGTCGAAAGCCTGCCTTACACTTCTCACGCCCTTCAAATCCTGATCAGCTTGGATAAAAAGATAAAATATCACTCTGTCTTTCTGACTTTCATCAACTCCGATACGGAATCGAACAACCTCTTCCCTCTTCTCTTCGTATCGCAGAGCTCAACAACAGTCATCAATATGGTTCACAAAATTATTTCAAAGATGTTTTCCTGTTGCATCAAAAACTATAAAATACTTAAAGAGGAATTGCTTTGGATGACAGGTAGTTATACACTCAAAGAGAAAAAAACCTGACACACGTATTGATTCGGTTATTTTCCACAATAATTAGTTATTAAGAATAATAATTGACTTAAAACGTAACCACTTTTCAATTAATTATTCTTTTTATCTCAGGTCTTAATCAAAATGAAAAAGTTAGTGTCACAAGCGGGATTATCTATGACTTAATTATGACCGCTAAACATAATTATCTAACCCTATATTAAAAAAAAAAATAAATAAAAAAATAGAAGAAATTAACAAATTCAACCAATTATATAGGTTCTCGAAGATTACCCATAAGTTGAAGATCAGGGATCCATCATCAGATCTGATGACAGCATCCCTGATCTTCAAATTATGATATCTTGATGGTTGATTCATCCTTCCTTTGCAATAAATGAAGATATCACATGGAAAAGTTATGACATTTATAAATCAACTTCACAATTTAACTTTTTGACTGGAATGAATTCACAACACTCGCAACTCGAGAATGAAGCAAACGGGGTTCAACCCTGTCATTCGCCTTTTGTCCCACCCAGGTTGAAGTGAATGGCCCCATTCATGTGACCCAGGTTAGCGGTTTTGAATTTGATTGTAGTATAATTATAAAAATACATGTAGTTTGAAATAAACAACAAAATACGAGTGTCCAGTTTTTTGTCTTTAAGTTTATATTTACAGTTTGCATTTTGACACGACACATTTTATGTCTTCACATAATTATTGAAAAATTAAAAAGTGATGTAATTTTCTAATTAAAACACATTTGCTAAATACTGAAAGAATTTAATTCAATGACAAATGGTCAAATAACATTATTTATAAATTATAATTGGTCAAGTGGACCAGGCAGACCAAAATAGAGGAGTTATTTATAACTTGTATAGAATCAAGCTATGACTTTTTTTTACAATTTTCAACCATCGGGAGAATTCGCTGGGAGAATTATGAACCTTGGGTTTTGGCCAGGGGTCAGACCTCAATCTTATATGTCCTGCCTCTGAAGTTAGACAGGACCTGTCAATTTCAGTCACAAGCACAGCAGTTTTTAATTCAAAACACATTTAAATACATTGTTTCCAGTTTACATACCATTCACTTTCTTTGTCTAACTAATCTAATTGATCGTGTATAAGTAGTCAGTAGTCCGAATTCTATGTCAGTCTATTGCCTAAATATAGCCCTAGGTAATTAATATTTATGTTGGTAGTTCCGTGTTTTAAACCTTAAGTACAGACGTGGGCAAGGGTGTCTATTTAACAAGGAGTTCATTTTGCACCATTGTTCAACACGCTCAAGATGCTCCTAGTTATTGGAGATGTCTTGGGTAGATTTGGCGTTAGGAAATTTTGTGCTGTCCGAAAAATAATGCAGGTTAACAAAATAAAAACAATTAAATAAATTATTTTAAACATTTTTAAAAATTGAAATACCCTCCATCACTAATTAAACGTCTCCCAAAGTGATGGCAACTTCTCTGTATTCTATGAATAGTATTTTGAGTCTTTATTATTAAGAAATTATGTAAACGCATTTTATATCGACTTTTGATCAATACATTTTTTATGTTGTAAAATCCAGGTGTCAGAAAAAAAAAATGGTAGTCGGTAGGCAAGAGTTCTAGGGAATAATGAGGGTGAGGCAGAACCTCAAAACCAAAATCCAATATTTTTTGAGTTGTCACAGGTGAGACATGGGGCTATTCATGTAACAGAATCCGTCTTTTCCCTTTGACCAAAGATGGCTTCTCTAATGCAAATTTCTGGTGCATTGCTTCAATTGAGGGCAATACATTTCGACACTGATTGTTTCGCCAGGATTCAAGAGCTCTAGTAAAAGCCTAAACGAAGCCACCAAAGTCACCATCACTTTTTTTTATGAGTTTACGGCTTTGAAAAATGTGTTTTTGCTTCTCCTTTGTTGAGCCACTGTCCAGGACAAGTATGTTATAATAGAGAATCCACTTTTTATCACAAGTAACAATCCTATCTAAGAAAGGTCCATTCCATTCATCCATTCCATTTTTTTTTTTTTTTTAATTATTGGGGTGAGTCAATAAAAATGATATTTTTCACTTTCCTATTTGAAATCCTTTTATGCAGTTTTATGCAGATATCCTTTGCAAGTTGGTGAACAGTTCTGGGATTTTCTTCGACCGAAGCTCACAGAACAATATCATCTAGATTGAGTAATGGTTTATTAGCACCTTATTTCACGTAACAGAAGTTATTATATATTATTGTTTCAATGAAACACTTGAAAAGGATGCCACCAATCGAGCATTGAAACTAGTAGTGTATGTTATAATAAATAAGGTGCTAATAAACCATTATTCAAAATAAATATTTAATAGAAACTTTAACATAATTCAACGAAACGATTTATTATCATCTAGGGAAGAAATCCATCCACAACCTTGTTTGTCTTCAAGGCTAGTCTCCCTCTCGAAACTTTTTAAATCATCTCAGAACAATGCTCTCACTCATGCTGCCAATGTCCCAGACTTCATTAATCTTTCTGGCCGTTTGGGCACCGTTTGAGTTTAAATTTGTAAAATGAAATTTCGAGAAAATCATATTTTGACATCTTTAGTAAAGACTGAATTATTTCCCAAGTAATAAAATGGTACTGAGGTAAACAACTATTTTTGTTTGGAAGAGGAACAAAATGTGTTGACTGTCATACAAAAGAATAATCAATCAAATGTAAACAGTTTATTATATAGAGAGGTAATTGAACACCTGCATTATTTTCCAGACAACCCAATAAAAGTTCAGTTTTGTTTTCTTACGTTGCAAGTATGTTGGGATTTATTGTCAGGTCAGTAGTATAAATAGAATATAGGATGTGGGGTGTTGGTCATAGTCGGTTTAGTCAGAGTGACACGAGCTCATAAAAAAAAGTAGGATGGGACCTTTTGGGTCAGTCTCTTGGATCGTTCTTGTATCAGGGAACCCATTCCTTACTTTAAAACAATCATTTGTTAGGGAAAATGGTAGCCAAGTAGTTTAGGGTGTCAAACTCTTGGCTAGAAGATCTCAAGATCATGGGTTCAATTTCCATTGCAGATTTTTTTTCTGACGGATAAGTGGACAGTGCTGACAGTCAGTGCTGTGACTGTAATGAACATTGACACAGTACTCATTAATGGAGCAGGATTAGGTCTCAATGAAAACCAGGAACCAGGAAGGATGTGTGCTATAAGCTGTAGAGACAATAAGGACCGGGGGTCAGACCCTGTTGATAGCTTGGGAAATCTACGAATCCACTCGAGCAGTACTCTGTTCTCTAAAGCAGTATCCAAGAACAAATCCACAGACACAAGCATTCTCCTTATGGTCTGAACATTAAAATGTAGTTTTTAGCACTTAGTAGCATATAGAAGTTATAACAATATACTGTTTTGTAATTAAAGTATAACTGAGTCAATTTTATTAGTATTTTTTATACAGAAGATTTTTGTTTTAATTTTGAATTGTACTAAATGATAGATTGATGACAGAGGGGAATAGTCATTGCATATTGACATTTTTCAGAGGTGTTTGTTTTTTGGCCAGATACTCTGGTATATTTAATTGCTCATGTATGTAAATTAATTGTAAAATGTTTTCAATAGCAATAGGTATGAATGAATTGCTAAGGAGAAGGATTAACGAAGGCCTGCTCGTAACATATTCCTTCCCATTCTATTCGGGTGGCATCATACATTCTGCAATTTCTGAGGATTTGGTCCTCTACCTTTGGCATAAATAGTAAGTGTTCATCACACATCTTCAATCAACATAAATTATATTATACTTTTTCAGTTTGTACAATAATGAGAACAGAATCAGCCTGTCCAATCTACAAAAAATGTTTCTAGACTTGGAGCAACACTTATTCAACACCTATGGCATAAATTTTTCCACTTTTGAAATAAAACAAATCAAAATGAAAGGTGTAAATATAACGTGCCTGTCAACGGTAGGTTGTTTTAATTTTTCGATTTTGTTTGTATTAAGATTATTTCTTAACTTTCAGATTGAATTGAAGATCGTTTCACCTGAAATTCTCTACATAATGCTACTTTATCTTCACAGTCTGATATTTGAAAGGAAAGGCGCAACATTTCAATTGGAATAAAATACGAATGGGATTTTTAAAGAGATTTGGTCAATGATTATGACAAATTAAAATTTTATTCGGTAAGTTCTTCTGAACAGCCAATGTTGGAGGACATGACTTTTGTGTACATTTATCATTAAAAGATTTTCTATGCATATGAAAATTTTTTTTTTCCAAATTATTGGGTCGAGTCAATAAAAATGATATTTTCAGTTTCCTACTTGAAATCCTTTTATGCCTTCCACTATTTATGCCTTTGACAACATCAATAACACAAACTATCATAATGCTGATCTAGTATGATATTCTTGTAATGTTGCATTTACTATGTATTACATAGGGGGCTTGGTAGTCCAATTTGAAGGAGAGGAAATTTGGCTTGATTGAACTAAGTGGAGATGGTTCAACAGATTCCAAAATGGTGATTAACCAGTCCTCTCAGTTATGAACAAATGGAATATAGAAGTTGGTATATTTGATTTTAATGGAGACATATAAGTAAAAAGTATGGTGAAGTTTAATTCTGGACACCCTGAAATTCGCAGGGCCGGATGAATTCTCATTTTTATACAAAACTTTTTTAAGTCAAGAAGAGTTAAAGTTTAAGAAGTATTAGTAAAGTTTAAGAACTTTCACATGAAATGCAGACTTGATTTCTCACTGCACATGAAAAAGGCAAGGTACTAAATAAATTTTTACAACATAAGTCCTCGTTAACTAGTCTTCGTGTCAGTTTTTCATCTTGCCATTTTCAGCAAAGATAAAACACTCCCTTTTTAAATTTGATAATGTGTAAACAGTTATTGGGTTGGGGATTGATAAGGTATACAGATGGCTGTAAAACACATGAAGGAAACAAGCAGTTTCTGTACAAGCCCAAAATATGAGCAATCAACCTCTTTAGGAAAGTACACCAAGGTCTTTCAGCTAAAACACTTACGAACACTGGATCAAAGTATGGTCTTGAAGGGGAAAGCAAATTCAGTTGTTACTGCCAAGCTTTCGACTTATTTTAAGGTCATCATTAGAGCAAAACAATCTACCTTGATCCAGCGTGTTCTAAGTGAAAAAGTGGTCGATATTTCTATATTGAAAACATCAATGCTTGTGTCTTAGAAAATCTTAAAAGTGGTCATATCAAAATTAGTAAATGCATCCGAAATCTCCAAGACCTAGGGAAACACAAAAACCTGATTATATCTTTGGTACAAGGGCACAACACAAAGGAAGGGAATGGCAGACACACTGGCCAGTGGAGGATCTACAAGACCATATATAGGCTATTCTTGGAATAACAAAATCAAAAATAAAAATCCTGAGGACACAGTAAGCTCATATTAAACAACCCTTTTTAAGACTGGCAAACTCACTGCTACTGTTACAGAGGGCTAAACTTAGAGTAAACTTTTTTTGGGTTTTTGTGTTTCTCTTGAAAAATACATTTAAAAAACGTGCCTACGATCCTTTTTCATCAAAAAAGACAATACATTTTTTTCAATTTTTTTTTGCGTTTTTCTTGAAAAATAGGTAAAACAACGTGAAAAAAAAATCAAATTTTTTTAAATGTTTTATTCAATGTAAATCGACCTGCTGAGTCGATTGGATAAGGAATTAGGCTCGTAGGACACGTATTTTTCCAAGAAAAGCGCCCAAAAAAAAAAAAAAAATCAAAAAAGTTTTATTGCCTTCTTCAATGTAAATCGACCTGCTGAGTAAATTGGAAAGTCTAAAAAAACTTCGTAAAAGTATGTTTTTTGCTGGTTTTTCGATTTAGAACTACCGGTTGATTGAAGAGTTGCGAGTTAGGGAATGAAGCCTGTTGACTAGTTCAACTTGATCTCGTGTATCAATCTTGTGAAAAATTGGTCAAAATATATAGAAAACTTCCTAAAACTAAGGAAATATCAAAAGTCTAAAAATACTTCGTAAAAGTATGTTTTTTGCTGGTTTTTCGATTTTGAACTACCGGTTGATTTGAGAGTTATGAGTTAGCGAATGATGCCTGTCGACTAGTTCAACTTGATCTCGTGTATCAATCTTGTTAAAAATTGATCAAAATATATAGAAAATTTTTCTAAAATTAAGGAAATATCAAAAGTATAAATAACTTCGTAAAAGTATCTTTTTTGCCGGTTTTTCGATTTTGAACTACCGGTTGAGTCGACAGTTGCGAGTTAGGAAATGAAGCCTGTCGACTAGTTCACCTTGATCTCGTGTATCAATCTTATTAAAAATTCGTCAAAATATATAGAAAAACTTTCTAAAACTAAGGAAATATCGAAAGTCTAAAAAAACTTTGAAACGAGGAGTCTATTGTCTAGGCTATGCGGATGACCATGCCATAATGGTAAAGTGCCGCCATGCAAACATCGTGATGGATCGTATACAACAAGCCCTCAATCTGGTGGACAGGTGGTGAAAAATGGACGAGCTATCTATTAACCCCCACAAAACTATAATGATTCCATTCACAAAGAAGAGGACAATAGGAAGCCTGAAACCTCCAAGTCTAAACAGGTCCCCGATCCCATTTTTTAAGGAGGTCAAGGGAGGAGATACATGCAGAGCTTGGAGAAAAACTTAGCCCTGCTCATCACGTCATCAAAATCGGATAGGCAACACGATGCACCTTCTCCAAATTAGGCGGAATTGCAAAAACAACAGGGGAATGAGACAAAAAAACCTGGCGATTGCATATAAGAGCGTATATCTAAGGATAGCGACAGATAGAGGTACAGCTTGGTCACAAAAGTTACAAAGTTGGAGCAAAAGTATCCTAGAAGCACCAAACATCAAGGAGAGGGCACAAGCAAAGTGAGTGTCTTCAAATTTCTGGGCCACGCAAACCTTGATTGGTCGTGGCAACTTCTTGGCATACCTCTTTAAATTCAAAAGGTCCAACAGCCCTTTTTGCCCCGAATGCCCACAAAATTCTCTCTTGTGGACTTTTTGAAGGGGAAAGAAAAGGCCTAAAAGCCCTCTTCATCAACAGTTGTCCCCAACTTTAAGCAAAGTTGTTCAGGACCAAAACCACTTCCAGGCACTTAAGATATTAAGCATGAAAATTCTTGGATGTAAAATATGGAGCGCATATTTATTTATTTATTCATTCATTCATATATCTATATATTTATATAATTAACAGTAAATACGCTTTAACAGGCTCATTAGGTTAGTACGGTCTGGTTTACCCTCCTCAAATTTGTAAACATACTGGTCAACTTATTAGTCAAGATCATCCCAAAAAAATATAAATATATATAAATTATTTAAACATTTATTTGTATGTGTTCTCTTTTTAAAATAAAAAGAATTTCAATCAATTTAACTCAGTTTTATTTATTTATTTAAAGGAAAAAAAAACCCTAACTATATATATCTTTAGACACTAGAGATCAACCATAACCGCACAATTGATCGGTATTGATGGTTTAGTATATATAATGCCCGTTTAGTACATATAAAAATATTCATAGCCTGCCTTTCGTGGAGCTACGTTCCAAAAAGATGACGAGTGAGATAGGTGGATTGAAAGGGAGCGCAAAGCAATGAACAGTAATCTAAAACTCGTCTTACAGTGAAAGTGTATAAAATTTTAAGTGTATCTAGATCATGGAAATGTTTAGTATGATGTGTAATAAATCCTAAAGTTTTATTTGCATTAGCATAGTTTTATTAATGTGTGAGTGAAAGTTTATCTAACTGTAAATAATAATGCAAAGGTCTTTGACAATTTCACGTCTAATTGTCGAGTCTGACTTACTTAAATTTGACGTACTTAAATTTGATAGGATATTTTATTTTATGGAAAGTCATAACTGAAGACTTGTCAGAAGTTAAAAGAATATTATTAGCTGAACACCAATTAAGTTTTACTAAGGCATGTTGCAGTTGTAACCAGTCAGAAACAGAATAAATTTTTAGGAATATTTTTAAATCACCTTCAAAAAGTAAGGTGATGAAAGATGGAAGAGAATCAGAGACATAGATTTTAAATAGAAAAGACCCTAAGTGTGACCTATGAGGAACTTCAGAAGTAGCTAGAAAACTATGTGATAATACCAAATTTAATTTTATTTTAAGCATTCGACCTTCTAAATAGGATGCAAACCAACATACGCCTAATTTTTCTAATTTCTATATAGAATCATATGATGAACACTACCAAATGCTTTTGAAAAGTCAGTGTAAATACAATCAACTTGTAGTTCTTAGGAAAAAGATTGTGATATATAATCTTGAAATATAAGTAAGTTTGTTAATCTATATCTTTGCGGATGAAAACCATGTTGATTTGGGATAATAACTTTTTTAAATATTGGGTCTACAGAATTTAATATGATGCTTTCAAAAACTTTGCCTACAGCAGGTTGTGTACAAATAGGCACTATAATTACAAATATTACTTTTATTACCACTTTTAAAAGCTGGAACTATACAACTGCTTTTAAATGCATAAGAAAAAATCCTGTAGGTAGGGAAACTAAAATAGGAGCAATAGCAAGTTTGCTTCTAAATAGTTCCACAATTTATTTATTCTACGTGAATTTCTAATAGATTTTTCAACATTATTGATATAGTCTGAATGCACTTGATTTGTTAAGCATTTATACTTCATTCTTAGATCCGAAAATGCCTGCTTATAGTCACTAGAACTTAGTGTAAATTTATACAGTCTATGAGCTGCATGTTTTAGCAACATCAACCTCTTTAAGTCATGAGTGAACCAGATGGGAAAGTTAGAATCACAAATTATTTTTGTTGGCAAGTATATATCAATTTGTGATTGTGGAAAACTGAAAAAAGACAAGAAAGAATCATCAGTTGATAAAATATTAAACTGAGATTCCCAATCGACTGCACATACATCGAAAGATATTGCACTAAAATCACGTATATGTCTTTTATTACTAGTAGATCAGTCCTTATGTATGGGAAACAGTAATTCTAAAGGTGGATGGTATCGTTCTATCTTTACTAATTTATACAAGCTTTTTTGACTAGTAAGTCAGGTTTGCTTTAGATGACGTATTCATAAATTGTTCAGAAGATAAACCAGTTTACATACATGAGTACTATAATCTCCAAGGATGATTACATTTTTGAAGGTGAAATCTTTTTGTAGCATTTCTTCTATTTTAGAGCAGTAGCTTTTGT